TATTCTGTTTAGGAGTCTCCATGCCCTCTCCAAGTTCTAAAGCTTCAAAGCAACTTTCATCCCCAATCCCATCTATGTTTTCCCATTATTGCTCCAGTAGAGTTCAGGTAGTTTAGTGGATAAAGTGTCAGACTTGGAGTTAGAAAGACCTGAGTTCAAATCCTGCCTTAGACACTTACTAGCTATGTGACCCTAGGCAAGTCACTTAAGCTCTCTCTGCCTCAGTTTCCTCTTCTGTAAAATGAGGGAGAGCTGGACTCTAAGGTCTCTTCAAGTTTGAAATCTACAATCCTTTGACCCCTATGACAAATTTGTAAGTGACAAGGGACAATTCTGAAAGGTTAGAGCAGAACAGAATCAGAAACTTACTTCTGAAGCTGGTAGAACGTTCTTCTAATTTTAGGCAGAGTAGTTCTGACTCAAAGGAAGAAGACATGCCTTCTTCAAGAATTCCCTTACAAACTTGTTCCAATAATTCTTTATGTCTAACTACAACGTTCAACATTTCTTCTCACATTTTCAGCAAAGAATAGTTCCTCTGAACACTAAACACAGTTGGTCAGTCACTATTCATTGTAAAATAGCCTTTGATTATTAATTCACCTTATCTTACACACACACACACATACACACACACACACACACACACACTTTTGTCAAAAGCCTTTTTTTCTCTTCTCTGGACATTCTCCAGCTTCTCCACATTTCTCTTAAAATATGGATCCTCAGAATATTATAGTATAGAATATGGGTGCATGAATATAGGAGAACTACTATAGCATGAATTGTTTCTGCAAGTAAGATGTTATGAGGGTTTGGTTGCTCCTTCCAGGGCAGTGTGGATCCGATCAATCCCTATCTGAACTTTTCCATGCATAGAGATGTAGAGGTCATCCCCAAAGACTTGCAGTCCTCGTTTTATTGTCATCATCAACAAATATTTATTGAGCATTTATTATGTACCAGATACTGTGTACAGTGCTTAGTGTTAAAGGTACTCTTGGTATGGCTTTGATCCATGACCAAGTAAGGAGGGTATTTTCTCAGAGCAGTGAAATAGACAATGTCCCAGGCTGGGAGCCAGGGGCACATGGATCTAGGTCTAAAATTTCCCACCGAGATACTGCATTATTCTAGACAAAGCCTCTTCTTCCTTTGTTGCTCGGTTGTTTCAATCATGTCCACCTCCTCATGACTCCATTTGGGATTTTCCCGGCAAAGACACCGGAGTAATTTGCCATTTCCTTCTCCAGCTCATTTTACAGATAAGAAAACTGAAGCAAACAGGATAAAGTGACTTGCCTAGGGTCACACAGCTAGTAAGCATCGGAGGATGGATTTGAACTCAGATCTTCCTGACTCCAGGCCCAGCACTCTATTCACTGCACCACCTAGCTGCTCATCTTTTCTCTCTACCCCACTATCAACCTTTTTTCTTTGCTTCAATTACCCCAGTTATGATGTTGGTGGGGAAAAGATCCCATATCCCTCTTCTTAGTTCCAGAGCAGGGTGAGAACTAAGGTTCTTTTCTCAATCTTCACTCTTCTTGAGTCCTCTGCAGTCTTTGACACTGTCCATCCCCTTTTTCTCCCTGATACTCTCTGCTCTCTAATTTTTGCTAATTTGGTGATTTCATGTTATCCTGCTTATCTGACCGCTTTTCAATCTCCTTTGCTGGATCTTCATTTCATGTCATATACACTAATCAGGGGTATCCCCTAAGGCTCTATCCTGGCTTTCTTCTGATCTCCCTCTATACACTTTCATTTGGTGGTCTCATCAGCTCCCATGGACTCAATTATCATCTCTGTATTGATGATTCCTAGATCTACTTATCCAGCCCTAATTTCTCTCCTGAACTCCAGTCTTGCACCTCCAAGGGTAATACCATCCTTCCAGTCATTCACGCTCATAATCCTAGGGATCATCCTTGACTCCTCACTCTCTCTCACCACCTCCCACACTTAAACTACTTGCCATATATTGTCAATCCTACCTTCATAACACCTCTCATACATGCCCCCTTCTGTCCTCTAACACTGCCATCATCTTGGTGCAGACACTAAACACCTCCCCCGTGGATTACTGACATAGCCTACTGGATGATCTCCCTACTTTAAATCTCTCCCCACGCCAGTCCATTCTCAGCTACCAAACTGATCTTCTTAAAATACAAGTATAACCATGTTATTCTCTCTCTCTCTCTCTCTCTCTCTCAATAAACTAACTCCCTATCGCCTCCAGGATCAAATATAAAATCATCTATTTGCCTTTCAAAACCCTTCATAACCTGGACCCTTCCTATTTTTCCAATCTCTTTACTCCTTACTCCCCTACAGTACTCTTCAATCCAGTGAGACTGGCTTCCATGATGTTCTTCTCATAAGACAGTCTGTCTCCTGACTCCAGGCATTTTCATGGGTTGTCCCCCAAGCCTAGAATGCTCTCCTCATCTCTGTCCTGTGGCTTCCTTCAAGTCCCAGCTAAAATCCCTCCTTCTATGAGAAGGCTTTTCCAATCCCTCTTAATACCTTAGTGCCTTACCCCTGTTGATCATCTCCAATTAATTCTGTCTATATCTTCTTTGCACATAGTTGTTTGCACGTTGTCTCCCCAGTTAGACTGCTAGCTCCTTGAGAGTAGGAACCATTTTTTGCCTTTTTGTCCCCAGTCTTTAGCACATATTAGGCACTTAATAAATGATTGTTCACTAATGAAACAAGAAACATGGAAGAAGGATTCTTACAGATAATTTTTTCAATTCCAACATTTTACAGATGAGGAAACTGAATTAGTACTGGAAGTCACTTACAAAAGGATGTCCAAGGGGCAACTAGGTGGCGCAGTGGATAAAGCATCAACCCTGGAGTCAGGAAGACCAAAGTTCAAGACATTTACTAGCTGTGTGACCCTGGGCAAGTCACTTAACCCCATTACCTAGCCAAAAAAACAACAACAACAAAAGGATGTCCGGGTAGAAATAAAGTCCAGAGTCCTCTAGTGCACTTTTCATTGCAGCTGGTATGGAGGTGCCTTTCATTAAAATCACTAGTTAATAGTTACAATGGTGACATTTTGGTTCAGTGCACTCCTCTATCTCCCTCAATCATATGCCATTTTTTTTAACCCTCACCTGCACTGCATTCTCCCTCCTTCACAATGAGAAGAATGAGGAAGGGAAGGATCTGAAATCACTACATGCTTATTAACTATGAAGCAATACACCTGCCTCAAGAGAGGAAAGACTTGAGCAAGTTACTTAACTTCACCTATACTCCAGACTCCTCATTTTCAAAATAGGTATGACTCATCTTATTTCATAATTCCTGTAACACTTACAGGTGATAAGTGCATGTGAGAAGACTTTACAAATCCAATTCTTTATTATTACTCTTTTTTCAATTACCAACGTGAAAGGTTGACTTCATGCACCTCTCCTCTAAGAAACAGCTGTAGCTACACTGGGGGCCTCCCAGAGACTGTTTTGTTGTCATTCTGAATACTTCTAAGTAAATACAATTTTTTAATTAGTATTGTTGTTCTTTCCACAGGTGCCCTTGATAACTATTTTTTTCTTTTTGAGGGGAAGCTCATCTTTGCTTTTGTATGTCCATTTGAAATCACATAAATTATCAGTTTTCATCTTTTCATATTGTTAGCCACAAAAAGCTTTGATCTGTACACTCTGCATAACTCTGATAGAGTAATAAAAGTTGTATAGAAACAGTTTTTTTCCCAACTGGAAAACAAAAGTTACCAGTTAATAAACTGAAATTTCACATAGTACAGTATTCTATCCAATTACAACATTGGCCAAGAAGAAAATATAGAAATAAATTTGCAGCATGGAATTATTTGAGTGAAACATACTAAAATTCCATCCTTGAAAGACCAATAGAAGAGTACATTTTAATCTTTATGGGGAATTATACATTTATAACTTTATTACTACGTAATTGAAGTTATGTTTATAATTCTCATGTTTCAGAAGAGCTGAAAATGTGCCCCAAAATAAGACTAACACATTAATCTTTGGCAATAGAGGTACTGAAAGCTAAGTAGAGTTTTACTATGAAAAGCTGGGAGTGAATAGTCTTTGGAAAACATGAGATTTCCATATATGGGATCATTTATAACTATGTAAATCCAGATTTCCAGATTTTATTTAAGCCAGTTCTAAACAAAATTATATGCAGTCTTATTTAAAGAGAAATGTTTTTCCTATTAGGGCTTATATTTTAATTGTGTTATTTGACCCTCTACAAATAAAATAAACTTTGATGAAAAATATGCTTAAAATTTGGCCTTAAAGATAAAACGTTTATAAGACCACCTAATTTTGTCAAATATTTTTCCCTTCCAAATCAAAGCCAACTGTATTCATTAAAACTAATCATTTGTTTAGTTGCTTATCAACTGGGGGGAAGGGGTGCGACTTTTGCAATCATTACGGTTTTGACATTATGACTCTAAGTGCTACTGTTTTAAAACAGCGTTCTTGTCATTTTACACGCATTTGTGATGGAGTACTGTTTTGTTATACAATTTTGGCTGTCGGATTTGTTTATGTAAAATTTCAGAAGAAATACTTAATGACATCATCCTGAATGATACTAATAAACTAATACCGTAATTGCAGAGGTTTTTTAAAAAACAAAGCAACAGCCATACTAACTAACCCACACACCCCGCTACCAAACGGCAACTGACACAACGACTGCCTTCCACAGCGCCTCCGCCAACAAACAGCCGCACCTACGCGACCCTCTCGGACACTACGCATTCTTTCCATTGGTTAAATCTGACACGTGTCCATCCTCTCACCGGGAAAAACATTCTTACGTCACTGGATAATTTACATAGAGACCAGCGATTGGCGCCTAGAAATTATCTTCCTCTCCCGATTGGTTGATGATACGTCCCCTCTTCTTGAGGATGAGCTTGCGGCGGAAGAGCTAGTGACTCCAGAGGGTCACAGGCGGTTCGATTTCCGCTTCCGGTTCGCCCCAGAAATTATGGCGGTCGCCAGAAGGTTGAGGCGTCTGTTGTGTCTGGGAAGATGGAGTTGCCAGCCTGCAGGAACCCCGTTGTCCCGGGTGAGAACTTTTGTTGTCCCCGCGCGTTTCCCTGCTTCAGGAAACCCTTCTTGGTCACATCGGGAAAGCCTTTGAGAGAGAGCCCACACATCCCACCCCAGTAAATTAGTGTGTGCGTTTGATCACGTGAAAAACTGTCATCCCTCCAAAGAAAGAGTTATAGACAAGCCATAGAGGGACTTAGGCATGAAGAGCGATGCAGAGTAAAAAGCCAGGGACAGAGGATGTGTGGTAGAAAAGAAAAACGGAAGATGAGAGACAGGAAAGGGGGGGGGAAGAGAATGAGAAGCAAGGAATCAAATGTGCAAATACGTGTAGACATGAAAAAGAGTCAGAAATGGAGGGAGTAGAGGAGGCTTCCAAGGCTAGAGGAGGATAAGTAATCCCAGAATCTGTGTCCATGCCCAGATCAGATGCTGGATTTACTTGCAAGTCTGTTATGGCTTCCTGGCTAGAATCAGCTTCTAAACCTACCAGTACCTTACATGATATGAAACCCTGTAGAGAAAAAGTAACCCACAAATCAGAATTCATCAACTCTGCTCATTAAATCCACTGTCACTGACAGTGATGACCTAGTACAGTAACTTGTTAAGAAGTGTGTAGTAGTAAACTGAATTCTTGTTCAACTGTGCATCAGATTTGAAGTACTTTCCAACTCTTCAAAGTTTTTAAGTCTTTGAACCCAATCTTTGGGGAGAGAACCCCACTCCCCAGAGCAAGAGAAACCTCCCTATCCCTGGAGAAGACTCCTGTCCTAAAATAGTAGATTTAGAAGTAGAAGGAATCTTAGAAGATATCTAATTCAAACCACTGGTTTTACAAATGAAGAAATCTCGCAAGGCTTAAAGTTTACAGGTATTAAGTGACATATGTAGGATTCAAACTCAGATTGTGTTGATTGTAAAACCAGCATACTTTCTACTGCACCATGCTGCCGTCCCTGTTCTGCTTTCTTCCACAACATTCTCTCTTGACTAGCTGTTTAATAAATTACATGTTAATTGGATTCAGTCTCAATCTGTGACACCCTGAGTTATTCATTGTCAAATGAAATAATATACATAAAGCATTCTGCAAAACCTTAAAGTATTTTTTTTTTAATTTTAGGCGATTGGGGTTAAGTGACTTGCCCAGGGTCACACAGCTAGTAAGGGTCAAGTGTTTGGTCTGAGGCCGGATTTGAACTCAGATCCTCCTGACTTCAGGGCCAGTGCTGTATCCACTGTGCCACCTAGCTGCCCCAAAACCTTAAAAGTATTTTTTTTTTAAATGAGATATTATTACCCAGATTTCTTCATACACTAACTTACCTCATTCCGTTTTCCTCTTTCTGGAATTTAGGCACTTGCTGATCTTATTCCCAGAGTGTCCCAGGAGAATGATATATTAGATTTCCTGGGGAAGAGACCACATCGTAAGCACCCAGGCATCTTACTGTTGCCCCAAGTGAAGCTGCCACAAGCCCTGGTCACTGCAGCCCAGCAACTCGTGCAGGGTGAGTAGCTCTCTTGATCAAGGAAATAAGTAGAGAAAAGAAAGGAATCTTCATTTAACTGAGTAACCCCTTTTCGTCTTTGGCCCACAGAAAGCTCTATACCCAACATAGAGAAGCAGGTTCAGACACTCACCAACTACCTGTGGAGTAGGAAGCTTCCTACAGAACCTGAGGAGCTGCGCAAAAAAGCAATACAGTTGGAAAATAAACTCCAGGATACAGGTAAAGGCTAAGATGGGCCGAAGGAAGAAGCCAAGTTAGACTAATTAAGAAGAAATCAAAGGTTAATTTTTAAATCAACTTTGCAGACAAATATGTCAATTTTCCAATATGTCTTTGATCAAATCAGTCAGAAATAGCACTTAACAACTAAAAGCTAGATGGATGTGTAAGATGGGGAATAATAATACTTATATTACTTATCACAAGTTTTTTCTGAAGACCTAATGAGAAAATATATGTACAAAACACTTTGCAAATGATAAACATATGTAAATGTCAGCTATTATTATACATCTTTGATTCTGTTGTATATCACATACCAGGGTATACCTGGATATCCAGTCCATACCCAGACCTTTCTCATTTCTCCTAGAATCATCTGGATCAGGAATGATCAAGAAATGTGTTGGACCTTCCTAGATTGTACTGTAGAATGAAATCCCACCCACATGTATTCCTCTGTCATACTCTTGACCTAACCTAGATTTGACCTAGCTTCCATTAGTATTTTCACACAATTAGGACATTCTTGATTTCCCAGCACGCTTTCCTTCAGGGCAAATGCAAAAAGAAGTATCAGTGACTTAAGACTTGAATTATGATCTGCCATTACTTGCCTCAGTTTTGGATGAGCAGCTATTTCTTTTTAATTAATTAATTAATTTTGTGAGCATTAGCTCTCCCATTTCTCACACTCCCATCATTGAACATTTTTTTTAAATCCTCATGATGACTATGCAGAGCCCAGCAAAATAAATCCCCACGTTGGCCAAAGCCCAAAATGTATATCTCATATACATTTTAAGTCCGTCGACTCTGGCGAGAGGTAGGTGATATGTTTCATCTTTTCTCCTGTAGACTCATGGTTTATCATTGCAGTAGAGTTCTAAAGTCTTACAAAGTTATTTTTTTATACAGTGTTCTTGTTATATAAATTGTTCTAGTTTTGCCCACATTGCTCTGCATCAATTCATAGAGCTTTTCCCAGTTTCTTCTAAAACTGTCCATTTTGTCATTTCTTATGGCACAATAATATTCCATTACATTCATATATTATATTTTACTTATTATTGTTGTTCAATCACTCCTGACTCTTAGTGACCCCATTTGGGATTTTCTTGGCAAAGACACTAGAGTGGTTTACCATTTCTTTCTCCAGCTTATTTTACACATGAGGAACTGAGGCAAACAGGGTTAAATGACTCGCCCAAGGTCACACAGCTAATAAGTGTCTGAAGCCAGATTTGAACTCAGGAAGATGAATGTTCCTAACTTCAGGCCTGGCACTCTATCCACTGCACCACCTAGCGGCTCATTATTTGTTTAGCTGTTCTCTAATAGGTGGTCACCCCTTTAGATTGTTTGAGACTATGAGTAGCTATTTCTGAGACTACTTGTGAGTAACTTTGTAGATTGCACTGGACTCCACAGACCCAGCACTGGACTCCACAGACCCAGGGCTAGGAGGAAGTATTGCAAAAGAATGAGGAAGTTCCTGATCAAAGGAGTTTCCACTATCCTGTCATCCAGGCCTACTCATCACATTTACACAGAAAGCAAAACTGAATTAGTGGTAGATGTCATAAGGGCCAACTAGGTAAAATGAACTATTGGAGAAAGAATAATACTTTGGCTCAATTATTGTTCTGATGACACAGAACATGTCTTTCATTTTTATGTAATATTTTTCTGTAGCTTTAGACTAGAAGCCTCCTGAGTTTTAAGTCCTTGCTGGAAAAAACAAGGGCTAAGGGTATTCCCCTACTAGGTTCTGGGTTTCATCTTGGTGGTTCTTCAACTCTGGTCTTTGCTTTGCTTTCTCCTCTCAGAGTCATTACAGTCAGAGAAACAGCTTCGTGGAGCTGTGTTGAGTGCCCTACGCAAAACTACCTACCATTGGCAAAAACTGAGGTAAAGAAATTACCCCAAGGTAATGGGGGTTAGGGGGAAGGGGTTTTTCATAAAGATCAGAAAGAAAGGAACTTTACCCAGGAAAAGAAGTAGGGGTATTATTAGGGCTCAGGGAGATCCTCTGATAAACTGAAAAAAGAAAGAATGGGTATCATATTGCTTGCCTTCTCAATGAGTAGGGGAGGGGCTGGAAGGAGGGAAAGAATTTGGAACTCAAAAAAAAAAATTTAATGTTTAAAAAATTTTTAAATGAATAAATAGTTTTTAAATGTTTTTTAAAATGATGAAATGGATAATTCAGAGGAAACTGAGAGGACGTTTATGTTTTGATGCAGAGCAAAAATAAGCAGAACGAACAACAATTTATATAATAATAATGAAAATATAGAGAAAAAACTTTGATGGATTTTAGATCTCTTATCAATGAAAACAATAAGCAATCATCTCAAAAGGATTATGAAACACACCTCTTAACCTCTTGACAGAGAAGTGACAAACTAAAAATGAACAGACATACATATTTGGACATGGCTAATGTGGGAATTTGTTTTGCTGGACTATGTAGCTGTATACTGAGGGATGTGTTATTTTTGTTTTGTTGTATTTTGCTCAGTTAGGGGTAGTGGGAGAGACAAATTAATTTTGAAAGATTGTTAATTGAAAAAATAAAAATAAACTAAAAAGGAAAAAAAAGGATCCTTCAGGACTTGAGGGGAGAGAGGAAAGGAAAGGAATGAAAAGTCCTCTTAGTAGCTGTATCAAGTTGGTTAAATGTAAATTTTAAATTATCCCTGTTTAATACTGTTTAGAACCGAAATTTAAGCTCTCAAAAATATTTCTATTTCACTCTGATTTTGAAAAGACAGAGGTATGAAGGGCCTTTTTCTGTGGCCTGCCCCATTTCCCATCTTAACAGAAGTGGTTTTGGGTTGTGGAGGCTCATTCCTTGACTCATGCAACCAACAGTTGTTAAAACTGTTATATGCAGTGCACTGTTCTAAGTACTGTGGGGAGATTCAAAGGTAAATTAAATTCAATTACTAGAGATATTTATAGGAATTATAAGATTTGTGCATAAGTAGCTGTAATAAAAATGTGAATAGGCTGAGAACACAAGAAAAGTACAAATAGACGATGTATTCAAAGAAGCAATAGCTACAGACTGGGCAGATCAAAGAAAACTTGGTAGAACAGATAGCATTTGAGCTGGGCCTTGAAGGGGCAGGATTTCAACATTCAGTAATGGGAGGGAAACTTTTCTAAATGTAAGAAATAGAAGAGGGCAGCTAGGTAGTGCAGTAGATAGAGCACAGGCTTCGAAGTCACAAGGACCTGAGTTCAAGTGTGGCCTCAGACACTGGATACCTATTAGCTGTGTGACTCTGGGCAAGTCACTTAACCCCAACTTCCTTGCCCAAAAAAGAAAGAAAGAAAGAAAGAAAAAGAAATAGAAGAGCTGTGGCATAAAGGTAAGAAATCAAGGAACATATTCTGAGTTCAATGAATAGTCCTATCCAACTAGAGTCTAGAGTACCTGAGGGGTAAAATGTGGTATTATCTTGGATATGTAGATTGGAAACAGATACTAGAAGGCTTTGAATGACAAGCTAAAAAGAATAATAATAATGACAGTAACAACTGACATTTATATTGCTTAAAGATTTGCAAATTGCTTTATATATGCTACCTCATTAATTCTTCACAAGAACCCTATGAGGTAGATGCTATTATTATCCCCATATATATGGGGATAGTGCTATAAATGCTATAAAAGCAAAGGAACCTGAGAATAAAAGAGGATAAATAGTTTGCCTAGAACCACACAGCTAGTAAGTGTCTGAGATAGAATTTGAACTAAGGTCTTCTTTACACCAGATCTAGTGCACTCTCCCACTATACCTGGGTGCTTCTCGTAGATATCAGTTTGTAATTGTTCGTAAGGTGCTGTAATGTAAGTTCTGCTTTAGAAAAATGAATCTGGAAGCACTAAGATGAACTGAAATAGAATGAGGGTCGAAAGGTAAATTAAGGGCTTTGGCAATAATGCACGTGAGACATAATAAAGTTATAACCTAGGAATAGAGGCTGTAAGAATTAAAATCGATTGGATGCAAGAGATACTGTGAGGCTAGAAATCTATAGGATTTGACAGATAATTATATATACTTCGTTTCTTTGGCAGCTATGATGAAAGGCTGAGCTTGGTATACATGGCAGCACGACTTGATGGTGGCTTTGCAGCTATATCCAGAGCTTTCCATGAGGTAAAGCCCTTTAGCTTCTATTACAAAAGGATTCCTGAGGTATACACAAACTTTCAAAGACCTCAAATCTAACTCCTTTCCTAGTCCTGTATTCTGAATAATCTCTAGCAAGGCCCCAAGTCATTCCTGGCATCCCACCTCAGGTGTTACCTTCTGTTTCTACAGATCCAAGCTCGTGTTCCAGATTTTAAGCCACAAACTTTAATGGATTTTGGCTCAGGCACCGGTTCTGTTACTTGGTGAGTGACTCAAGTCAGCATGAGCCCCACTGTTTCCAGCCTAAAAAAACCCTGTCTATACCATTCCAAAGCCAAGAAACTGGTAGATTCTAGAGAATAGTGAAGTTAAGGATTAGGCATTGGTGTCATCCATATTTTGCTTTTAATTAATTTCTAGATAGGAGCTTAGGAAAGGAAGCATAGAAAGGAGTCTTAGAAACATGGGGAATGGATCAGAGTTTGGAAAGTAAATAAGGGCTGCACTTGGAAAAGGGAGGAGAGAATATAACATCAAGGGTAGGGTCCTGTATGTTAGTTTCTGGTGTACAGACATTTTTTCTGAGTCCATTGCTCTCCATCCTCCATCCAGAAGGCGTAGAGAAATTAATAGAAATGACACCATTAGTTTTTAACCTTTATCTGACATAGCTCACTAGTATACTTAGGAGAGTATCTATTAGTTTAAGAACTCTGTCTCTTAGATCTTTTAGGTTGTCCTCCTATCTTCACAGGGCTGCTTATAATACCTGGGGCCAGAGCCTTCATGAATATTTGTGTGTGGACAGCTCAACTGCCATGTTGGCCTTGGCAGAAAGGCTTCTGAAAGGTGAGGGTAAGGCAATGGTTGTTGAAATGCTCTACAAATGATAAAAGCAAAGGATTAAGTAGAGGAGGTTGTAATAAAGTGAAGAGGGAGAATTAGATTTCCCATTCCTTAAAAAAAAAAAAAAAAAGATTCTCACAAAAGATCAGACAGGTCCAATTCCCTTTTGTATTTTCCTTAGATATAGGCAAAGGTAGAATCCTTTGCTGAGTGGAGAATGGGCTGGTTGAAGTCAAAACAAGAGAAGGAACCCTTTTCTCTTTCTGCTCTTCCCATGCCTTTCCTTCTTTATCCCATCTCATACTCAGTAGCTTTTTTTGTCTATTCTTGGGGCCTTTACTCTCTATTTAGATGTCCCTTCCCTCCTCTGCCCCCCAAGTACATAGACACACTTTAACCAATTCTCTTCTTTGTTCCCCAGGTGGCTTAGATTCTGGGAAACCCCATGTTCCAGGAGTCTTTTTTAGACAGTTTCTCCCAGTCTCACCGAAGGCAAGTGCTTACTTGCCTCACTGCGCTGGAAGAGGGATAGGCACATGGAGAATTTCAGCATTGACTTTAGAGCACAACCTGAGTATTTGGCAGTGGGTGGAAACAAGGCACAAAGAAAGTAGAAGTTGGGAGAGGCCCTCAGGGTGGGAAAGAATTCTGTCTAAAATGTCCCTTGCTTTGATTCCCAGATACAATTTGATGTGGTGGTGTCTGCTTTCTCTCTAAGTGAGTTACCCAGCATGGCTGATCGAACCGAAGTCGTCCAAACTTTATGGCGTAAGACAGGTCAATTCCTGGTAAGCTGAGATCTCCCTTCATCTCTCAGTAAACCTCTTAGGGGTCCAACCTTTCTTGTGTGAAATGTCCCCCATCCTTAAAAGACCTTCATCAGGCACTACCATACCCATAAACTTCTACCTCTATTTCTTTTTCTCAGCCAAACCCCTTGAAAATATCTATATTCATTGCCTTCATTTTCTGTCCTTCCATTCTCTTCTAAACCCCCGGCAGTCTGACTTCCAACCTCATCACTCAACTGAAATTACCCTTTCCAAAGTATAAGTAATGACCTCTTGATTGCCAAATCTTATGGCCTTTTCTCAGTCTTCATCCTTCTTAACCTCCTTGCATCATGACATTGTTCTCCTTTTGTGGATTTTCATGACATTGTACTTTTTTGTTTCTCATCTTGCCTCAGTCTCCTTCACTAGAAGATCATCTACAAGAAACCCCTTAGCTATGGGTGTACGACAAAGCTCTCCCCTGTGCCCTTTTCTTTTCTTTCTCTATACTCTTTCTCTTAGTCTTCATCCACTCCCATGGCTTTAATTATCAGCTCTAAACTGATGACGCCAACCAAGATCTATAATTCTAGACCTACTCTCTAGCTTGAGCGCTAGTCTCTTATTAGTCAACAAACATTTATTAAGTGCTAATTATGTGCCAGGCACTGTGATAAGCACTGGGAATACAAACACTTTCCCTGCTCTCAAGGAGTTTACATTCTCATTAGGGAAGACAATACATAATAAAAACAAAAGAAGCTGAAAAAAATTAGGATTAGGGAGGCAGGTTGTTCGTTAGAACAGGGCATGGTAGAGAAATTCTGGAGTACAGCCTGGAGAGGGATGAAACATAGCTGACCTGGGCACCCTTCTTAAATGGAGGTTCTGTGAGGAGCCACCCAATTAAGAAGAGGTCACAGAAATGGAAGGGTCCTTCCAGCGTGTGAATTCTAGGGCCATCCAGGGCATCTGTCACCAGTTACCTATAAGGCATTTCAACCTGGGTGTACTATAGACATCTCAAACTTAACATGCCCATAAGTGAACTCATAATCTTCTTCCCTTACCCCCCACCTGCCTCCTCTTCAGAAAATCCTTAGTTCTGTCAGGAATACTACCATGCACCATAGAGAAGCAGCATGGTATGGTGGGGAAAATGCCAGGTTTGAGTTCTGACTCAGTGACTTGGAGCAAGTTTCTTAACCTCTCTCTGCCTGTTTCTTCATCTATAAAAGAAGGAATTGCAGTAGATGACTTCTAACATCCCTTCTACCTCTCTGGAGTCTTTTGATCCTTGTAATCACCCAGGTTCACATCTTCAGTGTAATCCTTACCTCCTCTCACTCACCCCTCCACACACAGACACACATACATACATACATACATACATATATATATCCAGGTAGCTGTAAAATCTTGTCTGTTCTACAGCATCTCACATCTCTCCTGTTTCCTCCACTCACATAGCCACCACCACTGGTTGCCCCATGCCTGAAATGATTTCTCTTACCTATTTCAGCATCCCTAGCTGTTGCTGTTGTTGTTTCAGAGATCAGTTCAAGTATCATTTTCTATGAGAGGTGCCACTTTTCCTGACCTCCCAGCTGCTGGTGCCTTCCTCCCAGTATCAACTTATGTCTCTTTTATGTTTTATACATACTTGTATGGCCACCTGCCTGTTAGTTTTCCCTGCTAAGCTACTTGAGAGCAAGGGCTTTTTTCATTTTTGTCTTTATATTCCTATGTCTAATTTACAGTTGACTTTTAATAAAGGCTTGTTGATTAATCCTCCCTTTTTCTTCTTCACAGTTCTTTATCCTTGTTTAAGGGTCCTTAACAACCTCTCTTTTGTGGTCTCCATCCTCCTTCTTACCTTTTAGAAGGGGGTAACTGGAATGGGGTTCTTAACTTTGCCTCTTCCTACAGCACTTCTTTCACTGATACCTCCAATACTTTGGGCCATCTACTTAACCTCAATTTCTTCCACAGGTTTTGGTGGAGAATGGAACAAAAACTGGACATCGTCTCCTCATGGATGCTAGGGACCTAGTCCTTAGAGTGAGGTTCTTCTCTACCCTACCATGCTTCCTCAGAGCTGACATTTCCTTGAAAACTGTCATCATTGAAGATGACTCCCAGTTTACTAAGCGTATTGTCCTAGGTCAGAATGACTGTCCATCTGAGAAGCGAGTGAACCAAGGACTGTAGGTTTCTGAAGCATTGGGGGTGTAGGAGCTAGTATCTCTGTATTGTAAAATCAAGGGGCACTGACCCAAAGTCACTACTGGAGTCTGAGCCTCCTGGGCTGTACACCAGCAGTTTTAAAAGGTAGAATTTGCCAGTAAGGGTATGAGGGTGACTTGATCATCCCATCCTGCACACTGAGTTATAATGTCTCCCTCGTGCTTCAGGTATGCCTTAAGGTACTCGTAGTGGTCATCTAGATTGACATAGATTGCGTGTCTAATGACTGAAGGAGGTCCGGTGAAGGACCCTTTGGGTGGGGAAACACAATGACTAAACTGGGAGGTGGGATGGGTGAGAGGGTCTCTCAAACATTGATATATTTTTTTTTTTCTTGTTTGGGGGCATGACTTCAGGGACCAGAGAAATCTCCCTTGGACTGTCGACCTGGACATGTCTTCGCTCCAGTGAGTATTCTTCATTGATTGAACCAGTAGAAATCGTTCTGGGCTCAGCTATGGCCAGGAAAGATGGAAGAAGGGAGACTAACCTATTCTTTTATCCTACTTTCCATCTGTTTACCTTATCTACGCTCATAGGTCCACTGTCTTTACTCTATTCTCCAGTTCTATCTTACCTCATTATCTTCTGGTTTCTCTAACCTTCATTACTTCTTTTTTTCCACAGTGCCCCCATGAACTTCCCTGCCCCAAGCTATCTGCTTCCCAGCCCCAGGCCTGCAGCTTCTCCCAAGCATACAGCACCATCCCTTTTAGTTGGGTAAGCATACTGATAGAGGGTGGGGTAAGGGAGTACGTGAAGTAGAATTAAAGTGAGGAGCCAGATGATCTGGTCTGTGGAAGGAGAAAGGACTTTAGGGGTCAGGCCTGAAAGTAAATAAAGTCTCTTTTATTTATTTTATTTTTTTTTGGGTGAGGCAGTTGAGGTTAAGTGACTTGCTTAAGTCACACAGCTAGTGAATGTCATGTGTCTGAGGCCAGATTTGAACTCAGATCCTCCTGACTCCAGGGCCAGTGTTCTATCTACTGCGCCACCTAGCTGCCCCCAAGTCTCCTTTATTTTTAACTTTTTCCCCTAATTATCTTTCCTGTCCTTACTTCAGAATCATAGTCATAAGGAAGAGAAGTTCTCTCTGGTGATCCTAAGCCGGGGCCTTCAAGGGGAGGATCACCGATGGGCCCGTCTCACCCAGCCTGTCCTCAAACGGCCACGCCATGTGCATTGCCACTTGTGTTGTCCAGATGGGCATGGCAGACATGTGGTGGTTACTGCCCGACGACATGGCAGGTACAGGGGACGTGAGGAACTGCGGGGAGGAAGGGATATACAACTCACATGGATGTTTAAGGGGGCAGGGAAGCTATATTGAAGTGTCTCTCCTTTTCTTCTTCATAGACACTTATATCGCTGTGCTCGTGCTAGTGCCTGGGGAGATCGCTTACCTTTCACCACTTCACCTGAGTTTCCTCCATCCACTGTTCAAGATCCTCCTGACAACTGACAAGAGATCTTAGGAGTAGTTGGCTGACACCTTCCAGTTTTTGCCATCCCTGCCAAAAATGAAGCATCCAGACATTCATGATAGGGGTACCAAGTACCCTCTGACTTTTGAATTGTATAAAATTTTATTTTTTTTAAATAGAAAAAAAGAATTAGTGTTGTGATTCTTAGCAGGAAAGGATTCAGGGTTTCCTTCATTGAAGTTTTGATCTACCATTATAATAAAATCTAATTCCAGGGCTCTTTGTATTCTGACCTAGTCCTCAGCCCATCCTAATATTGCCCCTTGTACAAGAATTACTGCTGTCCAAGGGAAGCCTGTTTGGGAGTAGTGGGAAAACTGGATGACAAGAGCCACCCCCAGCTCTTCTGAAAACTGGCTCAACAGGTCTTAATGTAGCTATTTGGGTAGCCTACCTAGGGAAACCAGCAACCACCTCTTCTGTCCTTTCTCCCCTTTTCTCTTCTCCCATTGCCCCTCCTAAGGTTCTTCAACCACATCAGAGCTTTCCTTAGCTGTCCTATTTAGACTTGAACCCAAGCTAAGAGTCAGGGCTCAATCCTTTCTCAAGCTCCACTCCAACATTCTCCAAGCTAGTACATTTTACTCTAGTTGGTTAAAATCTCCATCATCAGGCTTCGTTAAATCTCAGTACCAGCTATTACCTTTACCTTGAAGTTTATAGCCACTTAGGTTACCTTAGCCCCACCCCCCCCTCAAAGCGAGTACAAGAAGAGGGAGGGACACTGTTAATGCAGTGGTCCCATAAATCTTGTGTTGTTCTCCCCCCCAAAAAAAAATTCATTCTGTGCTGAGAGTTAATTGTCTGGGGTTGCAGGTAAGGGGATCGGACCTCTCAGTTCCCACAGCATGGCAAAGCAGAAAGCCCTAGCCCTACCTTCTTTTGCCCCAACTGGCCCCAAATCCCCTTTGAAAGGGTGCAGTTCGGGTGTCAGATACGGCAGCCTACAAAGCAAGGGGATTGAGTAAAAGAACATGGATGGTTTGGATTGAGTATCCAGAGCAAGGAAAGACCAGGCTTTTGTCCCCAGTGAGAAGGGGGTAGGGGCTACTCGGCCATAGAGCATGCCTTCTCCCATTAGGCTAACCCTAGAGGTGAGCTCATGCAGTTCTTTGTCAACCTAAGGATTAGTCAGCCACGAGGAGGAGGAGAGACACACAGCTCTGGGCAGTGTCTGGCAGGGAGTCTGGAGTTTCTGGTTACTGAGCTGAAGAGGGTGTGAGGCTGGGGAGGGGCCCTGATTGGGGGTAGGGGGAAGCCAGAGGCAGAGCCCAGTCAGAGTCAGATGTCTTCATAAGCAGAGGCAGCACACATCGGCCAGGTGAACAAACACAACAGTTTCTAACGCTCCTGCCCTGAAGACCTACTCTCTTATCACCCTGGGGCCTTCACTCAACCTCCACTCCAGGGATGGAGCCACTTGTGGGTGTGAAAATTGGCTGCCTGCTAGCCTTGCTGACTCTCACTCTGTTCTGTGGCATTATTCCTATCTGCTTCAAATGGTTCCGGATCCATGCAGCCACAGGTATGGTTCTAACCCCATCTTTGTACATATATCATAAGCTCCTATTCTCACCTCAACCCCTCCTTTCACCTTGGCCCCTGATTTGCCTCCACTTCTAATCCTGAACCTGGGTTCATGTATATTTCCTCTTGGAGGTTCAGATTCTCTGTTCTCAGACCCCTATTCTTTAGCCATATCTGTCTGCCTTCCTTGAAATGCCAACTAAGAAATTACCTCTGTCCTTTGCCCCTTTGCCTCAGCAGGGAAGCACCGGCGGGTCCTCACTCTCCTAGGCTGTATATCAGCTGGAGTGTTTTTGGGAGCAGGGCTCATGCACATGACAGCCGAGGCCCTGGAGGGCATTGATTCAGAGATCCAGAGCTATTTCCTACAGGTGAGGGGCTGGGATGCTGAGCTTGAAGGACTCGTGGGACCTGAGGGAAGAACAAAAATAAGTTTACAGGAAGAAGATAAAAAGGGCCCAGAGTATAGAATGAAGTTGTATGAATGGCAGCTCCTGGTAGCGGGTAGAGTAGGGAGAGGTGGGCCGGGGCTTACACTTTTTAAGGATGGGACTACAGCAACACAACTATAGCAACACAACAGGAGACTGAACCACTTTCTCTTCTAATTCACACACTCTCCTTCCCAGAACAGGACGAGAAATGAGGGAAATGCTTCTGACACCACTGATTCAACTGATGTGAGTTTCCCCAAGCCAGGCCTCTACCTGAGAGGTCAGGAGAGCCAGGATTCCTTCCCCATTCAGGCCCCTCTTGGGGGTATGTGAGGAATGCTCAACATTCCTTCTCCTCCCCAGCCTCGGGGAGGCTAGGAAACTAGCCTCAAACTTTGAAACTAAAAAGAACTCATTCCGTACAGTGAGTTTAGGGGACATGTGTCCTTCCCCTCATTGTAACCCTGTTCTCTGGATCTTACTCTTCCATGCATGATCCTTCCCCACGTCCCTATCCCTGCTCTCCTGATTGACTGATGTTCTTCCCTTCAAGTCTTCTGTCCCTGTCTCTAACACCATTCCCACACCCACCGCTTCTTCTCCCACCACATTTTCTTCGCATCATTTCCTTTTCTTTCTGCCCTCTTTTTTCTCTTCTCACCTCATTATTTATTCTCTCTGTCTCTAGGTGGATTACCCGTTTGGGGAGCTCATCATCTCCCTAGGCTTCTTCTTGGTCTTCCTATTGGAGTCACTGGCACTGCAGTGGTGCCCTAATGGTACCAGGGGGTCAAAAACATGTGAGGAGGAATGGGGTGGGGCCCATGCTGCCCATTCCTCAACCCTTCACAGTCACGGACCCCTGCCATCACCCTCTCAGAGGCCCTTTAGGGCTCTGGTTCTCTTGCTTTCACTCTCCTTTCACTCAGTGTTTGAGGGACTGGCTGTGGGGCTGCAGTCTTCAGTACCAGCTGTGCTGCAACTTTGCCTGGCTGTCCTGGCGCACAAGGGATTAGTGGTATTTGGGGTGGGACTTCGACTGGTGCAGACAGGCACAGGGCGGCGATGGGCCCTGATCTCCATCTTGGCATTGGCCCTCATGTCCCCCCTTGGTCTAGCTTTGGGGATGGTTGTGGCTGGGGGAAATTCTGAGGGGGGAAGGGCCTTAGCCCAGGCTGTATTAGAAGGTGTGGCAGCTGGCACTTTCCTCTATGTAACCTTCTTTGAAATTCTTCCCCGGGAACTGGCCACCCCTGAATCCCCTCTAGCCAAATGGGGTTGTGTGGCAGCTGGTTTTGCCTTCATGGCCATAATTGCCATCTGGGCATGAATTATCCCCTACTCTAAGAGATTGTTCTTATCCAGGTAACTAGCCTGAGTGAACATCCCCCCTCTGAGCTGGCCCTAGTCCTCAAACATTTTTGTTTAGCCTTCATGGCATGCATCCAGCACCATCTTCATAACTGGATTCTAAACTTCTTTTATAGGGTCTTTGCTTGGGTCACCTAGCTCTGAAATAGGAAAGAGCTTGGGGTGGGAGGTAGAGGGGAGGGGGCGGCAGAGAAAGGGAGGGCAGGAGAATGAAGATGGACCCTTTTTTGCCTATTGCCCTAGACTTGGATATCAGCACCACCTACGGTACCATGTGTAAATAAATGTCAGTCCTCCTTCCACTTCGTTTTAGCCTCTGTGTTTCGACTTCCCTGTTTGGCATTAGGGCAGGCTGATGTAGCAAGTAAGGGAGGGTGGGAGAGGACAGTAGGGCCAGAACTGCAATACAACGGCCTCTTCCTGGGTTAGGCCCTAGCCTTTTTGCTACACATTGGCAGATGAAGCTGGTTGTAGAGGGATGAATTGCTGAGATACCGGGGATCCCCTTTATCCTCCCTTCTCTCCTCATTGGTACTGGCAACAAACAACCAGATGGCCAAGCAGAGAGAGCTGAACAGAACCCAAGGACTCCCTCCCCACCCACTCCTGCCAGTCATCTTTGCACGTCAGGATGCATTAATCCTGTCTCTTACCCTGAACCCAGTGTTCTCTAAACCCAGGCCCCTTTCCTGCTCCCTCAGGCTGAAGAATTAAGATACAGTGTGTTTAGGAAGGAAGAAAGGCGCCAGATAAATGCCTGGATGAACCACAGCTCAGCCCTAGCCTCCACACCGATGCTGTCACTGTACTCCTCCCCCAGACTGCTCACTTTTCATCTTGAATCTCCCTTGCTGTTCCTGTGTCCTCCTGAAATGCTGGCAAACAAACTAGTTTCTCTAGGATCCGGAAGGGGAAAGATTGTGATGCTTTTTTGGCAGGGGTGCTGAAATGGAGATGTCCTGGAGTTTACATGAAAAATCTAGGGAAATGAGTATGTGCATTCCCCTACCTCAGATTTTCCTTATTGGAGAATAAGGGAGGGGAGGAGGGAGTTGGAAACTGGTGTATCACATTCTCAGATCTGCTCTTATCTGGTTTCTCTATCTCTTGCTCATCCTGTTTCCCTTAATACCACATAAATCATCCAGACCTGTGAATAAACCTAATCCTAATACCAGAGGTCAGGCTTTAGAAAAGTATCTTAAAGGAAATTAAGTTCTACAGTCTTAGTTCTAACTTCTTCCTGTGCCCCCCTCCCTTTAACCTCAATGACCTTATTCTTTATGCATGGGGGAGATGGGAGTAGGCTAGGGAACTGGTTGGTTCTAGAGGCATGGGAAGAAGGTGTCTCCAGATGTTGGAGCAATGAGATGACTTCCTGGCAGAAGTAGAGCACCATGTTTCTGGGTCACTGATGAATATGAAGCGATGTGAAGTGGACGCAGGGTTCTTCAGGCATGATTGGGTAATACCTTTCTCTTTTCCAGAATCTTTTCTAACCCAGTGTACCACCATTCTCTTCCTTATTACTATCTCTTCACCCTTGGGATTCTCCCCACTCTAGGGAATCTAGGAGTCACCTTGATCCTGAAATACACTTTCTGTAGAGCCAGAATAACACTAGCGAACAAACTTTCTGAAGATAAACAAACAATAGGGGTGATGTAAAAAGGACAGGATTGTAGGGAGGTACCATACTTTTCATTATCCACAGCAATAATGGGAATAGAAGCCTTGAGCACTGGCAAAGATACTAAAGATGTAGAGAAGAAATGCATTTTCTTGATCCAACCATTTCGCAGAGCAATTTGGAACTATGCCTTAAGGGCTATAAAAATGTGCATATTTAGGGCAGTTAGGTGGCACAGTGGATAGAGCACTGGCCCTGGAGTCAGGAGGACCTGAGTTCAAATCCAGCCTCAGACACTTGATACTTACTAGCTGTGTGACCCTGGGCAAGTCACTTAACCCCATTGCCTAGCCCCCCAAAAAAAAATCTACCTTTGACCCAGCAATAGCACTTTTAGGGCTGTATCCCAAAGAGATCATAAAAATGGGAAAAGGATCCACATGTACAAAAATATTGATAGCAGCTCTTTCTGTGGTGGCAAAGAATCAGAAATTGAGAGAATGCCCATCAATTGGGGAATGGCTGAACAAGTTGTGGTATATGAATGTAATGGAATACTATTGTGCTATAAGAAATGATGAACAGGTGGACTTCAGAAAAAACTTTGTAAGACATGGACTAATGCTGAGTGAAGTGAGCAGAACCAGGAGAACGTTGTACACACTAACAGTCACGTTGTGTGATGACTAACTTTGATAGACTTAACCCTTCTCAGCATTACAAGGATCTAAGACATCTCTAAAGGCCTCGTGATGGAAAATGCTATCCACATCCAGAGAAAGAACTGTGGAGTTAGAATGCAGATTGAAACATACTATTTGCTCTTTTTTTTCTCTTCTGTTTTGCTTTGTTTCCTCTTTCTTGCAGTTCCTCCTATTGGTTCTAATTCTTCTTTACAACATGACTAATGTGAAAATGTTTAATAGGAATGTATATATAGAACCTGTATCAGATTGCATGCTGTCTTGGAGAGGGAGGAGAAAATTTTAAAATTCAAAATTGTATGGAAGCAATTGGTGAAAACTAAAAATAAATTAATAAAAAATAGAGCTAAAAACTTTTTTAAATAATTTTTTTAAAAAGAAACATATTTTCTTATTTTTTAATGAGTTGGAAATGTCAAATACAATCTGACCTGAAGAGAACATAGGCCTAAAGAACAACTCAGTAATGGAGGTTGAAATAGCACACCCTAAACTCAGTGATAGGCCTTATCCTAGAAAGAGGAGAGAATCCAAGGTCCAGGTCCCATCTGAAATGGGGTTTGGGAGAGAGAAAAGATCAGTTTTCATCCAATCTATTGAAGATTAATAGCCAAGGATTAAGTTGCAAAGTGATTTACTAAGTGGGGAAAAGGAAGGTCTCAGTTGCTCAAAGAGAGTTTTTAATAGTCAAACTAGTCAAATAGTCAATTAAGGTGACAGATCCAAAAGAGGAAATTAAAATGAGGAGGGAGGGCAACAATACGCACACTTTATGGCTATATAAAGCCAATGTCTTACACTGCCCATTCCTCTTATTTCAAAAAGCCAACAGTTTGTCCTAAAGATGTAACCATCTGAGTTTTAATTATAAATTTCAGCACTGTAAGAAACTTCACTTGTAATACAATTTGCTCATTACCAAGACCCCTCTATAACACACCTAATAAGTGGCCATCTAACTTCCACTTAAAGTCTTCCAGTTAGTAAAGGGATGGGGTCCTGACATCTATTCCATGGCCTCACACAGCTTCCAGCCAAATGGAGATTCCATGACTTCCTGTCTTGAGAATTGCCATTCCTGGCCAGTATTTCACAGTGCTAATCCTTAATGGGGTTTTTTCTAGTGTCTAATCTCTCTCTTAATGCAAATCTATTCTTTCTATGGGAAAGTGTTCTCCAGAGAATCACCTTCGGAGATTTCCAACTTTGTAGGCTTTAGACCTCATCCAGTCTTCTGGTTGAATCTAATTTGTTCATTCCTTTTCCCTCTCTCCATCGTTTAAAAGACTTTTTTTCCATTTCTCCCATTCTTTCTCTATCTGCTGTCTTGGAAATTCTCCCTGCACTTTGAGGAGCCTGAAGATTCCCCAAGGGAGAGAAGAAAGAAGGGGATCAGGAACCCAAGCCTGAACTCCCTTGGATTGTAATAGAAGATGAGGGACTAGGGAACTAGAACTCTCACTACCCTAAGGTACCTGCTATGATTTTTTGGATCTACAGTAACCCTTACCATCCACCGTGAGCCACCTTATGTCCATTCTCCTCTCCTCTCAAGTTCTGAACTTGGAAGTAAACAGTTTACTTTCAGATCATAGCAAAAAGTCAGGGCAAGAGGAAAGGGGATGTTTTGAGCTAGGTAGGTAGGTAGGCGGTGAGAGCTGGGAACCAAAGTTAAATTGTCATGTCGACCACAAGAGGGCGATGTGATTCCATAGCCTGAATCTACCATAGCAGAAATCAGTCACTGGAGGACCGCCCCACAACCAAATGGCCTAACTGGCCTCTGCTGAGGTCATCTTGTTCGTACACCTGGCTCCAGGCCAGACCAGACAGATGTGGATCCTTTGTGCTCAGAGCTCGTTAGTGGAGGTACACTGGGCCACTATCTTAACAGGCAGAGAAAGGCCCACAGATACTGTCATCCTCATTTATGAAGACTAGAAATAGTAGTAGAGGTCTCTTCCAAATTGCACAGAGGTAAAGATTATCCATTACTTTGCAGAGCTAGCTAGTGCTTGTATAGGCTGGTGCTATTTACGACTCCCTGCTTTGCCTTCAGGTTCCCACCAAAGAATTCATTGGAAAAGAGCCACTCTCATTTCTTATTTCTGTATTTGAGGACGTTTTCCTTTTTCTCACATAGCTATACTTCATTATTGGACAATTGCTCTGCTATGCCTTTAAAGGGCTTTTGCCAGCCCTGCTTATAATCTTCGCAGATCGGCTCTCCATTTAACAATGACCCGCTCTTCAGGTGTCCATTCTCCCTACCTGGTAGTGCAAAAGGCAGCGTAACTAAGACTAAAATGTGGAGGACATGAAAATTTAACATATGCATGCCAGCCTCTGTAGTAACGAATTCCTTCTCCTACTTGTCTAAATTTGTTATTTCCTGTATTATGTTCACATTCTCCTTGCTGCTTGCACAAGTGCCAAAATTGCTAAGCTGAAACTCTAGAAGGAAACAAATATTGATTTAATGTAATGATTCTTTCTTTTGCTCATAGTACAGTATATTCTTTGCTTTGCGTTTCGAGGAATCACAGCACACTCCGAGTCTAAGTTGGTAACGCTAAAGGAGAGTCAAGAGACTGCCCCTCGAAGCTGAAGTCTAAGTTCCATACAATTCTCAGATTTACACATGCACAATTACATATGTAAGCTGCATACCACTTGTGGCACATCTGGGAAACGAGGCACACTGATGATATGCCCTCTGAAAACCATTGATTTAGTGTTAATATTGGCCCGCTGTTACTATTGTCTTTCCACTGCCATTAAGCGTGCCATGTAAAGTTCTGGTGAAACTGCTTGAGAATCAAGGCCAAGCTGGTCTTTCAGACTCTGGGTTGGATTCAACTTTCCCCTCTCACCAATGAGTGCATCACTTGACAGTCTACCTTTCAGAGAACCAAATTCAATAAACACTTTTCAGTTCAGTATTGATGGAGAAAATGCCTATCTGCCCCTGGTTTCCCTGATGATGCAGGCTGGTATATGACCCTGGTCGTTTTTGGTCAGGATTACTATGCCAGTATCTCTATAAAGTGGGCAATATTCTTGCCCATCTTGCCCTTCAACAACACAGTAGCCTTGCATATAGCAGATTCTGAATGATTCTTTAAAGTCCTTCAGTAATATTTATAGTTCAAAGATGTTGAAATTTTCTCAGAAGATCAGTTATCTCCAGTGGCCCTCCCAAATCTAAATTTCCAAAAGCCCAAGTGAAATAGTCTAACACCCATATCTAGGTTCCTTACACATTGAGCACAGAGGAAAAAAGCACACTAAATAATTGGGCTCAGCTTCAGTGGGTCAGGATGCTACATGCTCTTTGATGCCATAACCATCATGAGGCATACCTTAAGTGAGAACTCAAGTCTCATGAGCAGAACCAATAGAACATTGTACACAGTAACAGCCACATCGTGCAATGACTAACATTGATAGACTTAGCCCTTCTCAGCAATCCAAGGATCTAAGACATCTCCAAAGGTCTCATGATGGAAAATGCTATCCACAACCAAAGAAAGAACTATGGAGTTTGAATGCAGATTGAAGCATACTATTTGCTATTTTTTTTTCTTCTGTTATGTTTTGTTTCCTCTTTCTGGTGGTTCCTCCTATTGGTTCTAATTCTTCTTTACAATTATCACTAATGTGAAAGTATGTTTAATACGAATGTATATGTATAGCCTATATCAGATTGTGCACCATCTTAGGAAGGGAGGTAGGGAAGGAGAGGGAGAAAAATTTAAAACTCAAAAGCTTATGGAAGTGATTGTTGATAAATCAAAATAAATTTAAAAAAAAACAACTCAGGTCTCCAAACCTGCTCAGAAACCACTATAGGCTATGCCTAGAGATAACTGAGAATCCCAAATGGGTGGGAGACTCCAAAGTAGAGATATTAGTGACTGATACTTTAAGTCGACCTTTCTTCTTAGAGATGGCAATGATAGCATCCCTGGATTCCTGCAGCATTTTCTCAAGTGGTTTCTCCCTTTCCCTGCCTGAAAATCTCGATGACCAGTAGATGGAGGGGTTTTACCATTCCTCATGATTTGTTGTGAAGCTAATCATCTCTTGAATAGTGTCGGCCATGCCGTGTTTTGGCAGGTTTTATTTTTTGGGTTTTACTCATGTGTAAGGAGTTTTAAAGAAATCTCAGTCTCTCTAGTGCCTTCTTTTATACACACACACAGTTAACACTGGTCTTCAGTCTCATCTACACAATTTATTGTTAGAAGGGGAGTTGTGGGGGACAAGAGGCTCACAAGGGTGTAACTTCCCCTCTACTATAATGTGGTCAGAGCCCCTAAGACACTTACCCTGCTCCCTGGGCAATCCTGCCCACCCCTCATGCCAGGTCTCAAACAGCACCACCCTAATCTGGCCCCCCACCTCACTCCATAAAAACTGACAACTATAGAGTTAGTTCAGCCAAGCTGCCCCGCTCCCTCCCTACTCCTGCTCCCAAC